CCTTCCTCTTTGCTGCTGCTAGCCAAAAACCCACTGTAAAACAGCATCAACCTTAAGCCCACCTGACCCGTGGCTCAACCACGCTCCTGCCTTCCAAGCCTCCACCCAAGGAAAGTCTCTCCCAAAGCCCCGATAACGCGGCATTGAGTGCGCTACCGACCCCACACAGGCTCGTGGCTGTGTCGGAAATATTTTTTTTTATTTTTTTTGATTTTCCTTTGGCTCATTGTAAAAGTCCTGTTTTCCTTCCTGCCCTTGGTGCGAGGGGAGATTACCAAATAAAGCGGAGGTGACTGAAAGCTGAACGTAGCTGTAGCTAAGATGACGCATCCCAAATGAGCTCTATCCACCATTGTGTTGTATTTTTTGTGTTTACCTTATGCTAACAGATGCAAATACTCCAAAGAAGTGTCGGGCATTGTTCGGGCTTGACCGACAGAGTTTATGGTGCAAACCATGCAGGTATAAAACTACCCATTAGGCCTTTGGGGAAATAAAAGCAATCTGTCCTCTTAGTGCATTTGTGTGATTTTATTTTTTTAATCTTTTTTTCCCCACTCCCCACCTTTCTCTCTCCCACAGCATCAATTGCTAATAATCTTTGATCTTTGGAATTTCTTGCTAATTTAATGCCATTTTCTCTCTTTCTTTACCAATAACCTCTCCCTGGTGGTAGAACTGGGAACAAGAAAACCCAAAGTCCTTAAAGCTGGCAATTTTTGGCTTTTTTTTGTTTTTGGTTTTTTTTCCAGATTGTCGGCAAAATTAATGTTTAGCTGGACATTTATATTTTGTCTTTCATTTGGGTCTATGTCCCCTGCCTGCAAAGGTTTTTTGAAAAGGTTCTGGAATCTGCAGCACTAGTGTTTTTCTCATGATCAGAGATGTAAAAGCCAGTGTTTACAGCTTATATTGTATTCATTTTTTTGGTATTATCCAAAAATTAAATGGCTACCTGTTGGCTTCTATGCCTCAGTAAGGTTTATGCAGATACAATTTTTTAAAATTACCTGAAGTATTTTTTTTCTAATTCTGAAAAGATTTTTTTTCCTAAATTTTATCCCAACAAGTGAGCTGTAAACGCCAGAGCGCTAGACAAAGCTAATTACAGCTTTAGTAGCACAATTTCCAGCATTAAAAGGAGATGAAAGACATCAGAGAGCCCAAATTCCGGCAGCCCATGTTCTACTGGAGTTTAATTCCATGTGTAACTCAGTAYGTACTTCTTTCTTGGTGGAGGGATACCGAGTAGTTCTTTTCTCATTCCTTTTTCCTTATGTGATCGCATTTGGTTAAATTTGTTGTTTCTTTATTCTGATACAAGCAGTCTTTGAATTTGGAATATTATGATGGTAGGTATTTCAACCCAAACCACACTCTGTGTGTAGTGATTCCTCTCCCACATTTTCCCCTCTTACTCATGCCAGTCCCATGTGCTCCATCTCATTTAGAATGTAGCTCAGACGTCCATYGTATTTTGTGTATGCACGCAGTCCTGTCTGTGCTTAGTGTCGAGGGAAACACGGATCGAGGGTGGTGGTGTGTGTCCCTGGACCAGAGAAGGCAGCAGGGATGCCTTCTGCAGGTTGTGTGTTGTCCCCTTTGAGGCACGGTAGTATGGGGTTTTGGGGTTTTAGGCACCAGTAGCAGGGCATGTGTTTAGCAGGCTGGCAAAGGAGGGTTCAGTCCAGAAGAGCGGAGTAGCTGAGTCAGGAGGCTCGAGTCCCGTGCTAGCCAAGGGCTCCAGTGCTGTGTTTGGTTAGGCTCTGTTCTGTGGGCARTGTGCTGCACACTATCAGCAGATAYTTGTGTAGTCTAGAGATACATGGGAAGCATGTCAGGCTCTGCATGCCAAGTACCAGAACTGGGGGCACATCATGTTTGTGTTGCTTTATCTTTTCCTGGCTGCTTAAGTAAGCAGCATACTTTTAAAATTAAATTTTATCAGCAAGGAAAATTTTTATTTGGTCTGTACAGTGCTTAGGTTACATGTGAAGTATAAACCCTCTCTTAACTTACACCAGATTTTGGTCAGAAGGGACAAAATCAATTTTTCAGTGCAGCAGRGACAGCTTCAGTGGTGTAGCTGATAGTTTTAGACTTACTGATTCAGAGTCAGCTGCTTTTCTTTTTGTTTTGTTTTGGTTTTATTTGTTTTGTTTTGTTTTTTTAAATGCATGGAGGCATTTTCTCATGAGGTATTAGAGCATTTCTCTCCTGGTTCTGGACCTAACCATTATAACATTGCATTTACTAGCATGGTGGCAGTCTGTAGCACACTTTAGGTAGGTGCTAAAGATGTGCAGTTTGCTGCTATGGTGAAAACTGAGACATCTTCACCCACAGCAAATGAATAAGCCCTTGCCATCCTCTGTGGCTTTCACTCATGGCAACTGCAGCATTACACATTTCCTGGTGCTGTCCCAGGGCTRTTTTCTAGGGCAGCACGAGTGGGGTCAGGTTTGTTGGTGTTTGCCAGACTGATGCAGCGAGCTGACGCTTTCAGAGCGATGCATGAGTGAATAATCCTCACTAGTGCTTCTGAGGRGGGATATGTAGGGTTTTCCTTCCAGCTTTTAGGAGAGAAAAACTGAGGCACAAGTAGTTCCTTAAATTTTTGCTTATTTCCCTTCACCAGAATTGCCTGGTGATGTTTGTATCTGGTAAAATGAGGCTTGCATGGTTTAGGATTTTGCCCTCTGTGCCTTTTGTCCCACCTAACCCAGACAGGTACATGGCCTCAGGTAACACATGGTGGGATTGACACAGAATGCAGAAATGTCTCCCCTCTGGAGCCATGACTTAAGTAAATGGCTTTTCAGACTAAAAGTGGCCACACTATCAGAGAGTTCAGCAGAGGAAGCAATATGCTCTCTTAATCCTAGTCAAAGAAATATTACTTCCAGTAGCAGAGCAATGGGTTTGTTTTTAAAAAGGTCGTTAACTTTAACCTAATTCAGAAAGTCAGGTAGACCTGGTTTAAGGCTGTTTTGCCATGAGAGCTCTTTCTTTCAGGCCACAGAACTTAAATAATGTTAAAAAATAAATTGAAATGCTGGCATATTAAATTCATAGTGCATCCAGTTAAACCCTGTAGGCTCAGAGCAGTCCAGCTGAATGACTTCTGGACCCCCATCCATGAACRAGGCAGAGCTTGGGTCTCTGCTTGCAAATAATTTTGATTTGGGGWTGGAGAGTCCTGCAGTCTCCACATTGTAAGAGCCCATTTTTCCACACAAGTAATATTGGTGATCTTTGTGAAGCTTAACTGTCCTGCTTTGCCACTGGAGCTGTACAGAAGGTCCAGACAGGAACTGTGTCCCTGGTAGTGCTGCACAGCTGAAGTAGGAAGTGGTAAGAGAGGAAAGGGTAGAAAGAACAGCAGAACTATCCTTAGACAAAAGCCAGAGACTTCCCATATTGTTTGTTGATGGTAGAAGAATTAGCAAGGTCTGTTTTGAGCCCACCAAATTAATCTTTTTTCTGTCTTTTAACGTTGCTCTAATAAAGCATGGTTTACAGCCTTCACTCGCTGTCCTCAATCTTTCTTTCTCTCTTTTTAACATTTAAGTTGCATGGTTGTCTTTAGTTTTTAGCATGATCTGCAGGCTAACGTGGTCACACCTCTAATAGCCCTAACCCCTCACCTTGCCACGTGGGACATGGAGCAGAGTCTGAGAGCAGATCTGAGTCTCTGGAGGAGGGCATGGCACAGCACTGGTCCCTCACTGAAGCTGGTGAAAGATGGGGTGCTGGGGTTTTTCTTCCCTCCCTGGCTATGGGAGATGACAGTTTTAACTCCAGGATGGAGCTGGTTTGATCTCCTTTGCCGATGTGGAGCTTCCCATTGCCTCGAGGGCAGAGCTCGGTTTAACCCGGTTAAACCCAGTTGCCATACACAGGGGACAGCACTGGTGACCAGCAGGGGAGATGGGACACCTGCTGGAGCAGGGACTGTCCCCCAGTGACCCTCAGCTGCTGTGCCACGCTCAGGCACTCCCTCTGATGGAGCTGCTGAGCTGGGGTGACATTTCCACTGGAGAGGGAGAGCARTCTCCTCCCTGCCTTTGTGCAGCTTAGCTGAGCATCCAAAGTTTTTGTGGCAGAGCTGCTCTAGACAGACTTTGTCCTATGCCTTGGGCTGTGTGACAGCGCTTCAGCACTGCCCATGGGAAGTGTGCTTGTGGATAGGAGGGCTGCAGAGCCAGCATGCTTAGGGTCAAGGTGGCCACTGAACATCATTCTGCCAGATGCTGTGGTTGTTTGCCTCATTATTTCTGTCCTACTGCTAGAATTGTCTTGCACTTGGCAAGAGAGATGGTGTGAAACTGTCATCTGTTTTCATTGCTCCTTTACATTATCCAGTGGACAGAGGGAGGAGAAAAGATCTCTGTCGGGTCACTTATTTATTTGAAGATGAGCGGCTCCTGTGAGACTCTCATATTCCCTGGTGTGCAGTAAGGTCCATGTTGCTCCTCACCTTTGTCGTCGTGCTCTTCACCTACTGAAATTGGATCCTACTCTGGAGTTACATGGATGGCCTCTCAGAGGAAAATTCCCCAAAATGCAAACAGCTTCCCAAATCTACCACTCTCCCCTAAAAGAAAAAGTAAAACTGAGTCGATTTAAAGCCACAACCTGCAGGCCATACAACCAGTTATTCTTGTTATTTTGGATCATACTCTGTTTTTCCTGTTCTTTTCCTGTTTTTTTCTTCTGTTTGCTTTGTTTGTTCGTTTTGTTTTTATTTCCCCTCTCTCTCGTTCTCTCTGTTATATATCCTTCCTGTCTGACTGACATTTCTGGATTTGGTGTGGTTCTTAACRGAGGAGAAAGCAATGAGCAGTAGTTTGCAGCCGCTCTTGCCTCCCAAGGGCWGGGCATCGTAAGGGACCACAGGTGACACAGGTGTAGCAGTAGCTCCCTTGAGTTGGGACAGCATTATGGGACATCTTGAGATACCATCAGCTATCCAGGGTGTTGATTTTAGGAGGATTAAATTTCTTTTTTATTTTTTYCCCCAYGGAAGAAAGTTTGTAGATTAGCACAGCGGGCTCCAAAACCCATTTACCTGGCTTTCTGATTATTAAAATCAGGAGAGGAGGCGGCCTGAAGAGGAGGGGGATGAAGAGACAATGAATTGGTGAATCCTTTCCAAATCCCTTAGCCGAGGGGAGGTTCCCGAGCGGGCTCGGTGCCGAGGACACCGTGCCAGACCCCCAGGATGGCGCGTGGGGCCGGGGTGCCACCCGTGCAGAGCCCAGAGTAGCTGGCTGACGGCTCTTTGCTGTAGATGACTGTCACCACCAGCATCTCTGCCCTTTATTCACAGACAACTCTCTCCCTGTTTCTAGGAGAAAAAAAAAGTGCGTTCGCTACATACAAGGTGAAGGCAGCTGCGTCAGCCCACCCTCTTCAGATGGAAGCTTACTAGACTCTCCTCCGTCCTCCCCCGCCATGCTCGCCTCCCCCTCCAGAGACTCGAAACCACAGACTGAACAAACGCAACCCCTGTCGCTGTCATTGAAGCCCGACCCGCTGGCRCACCTGGTGATGATGCCGCCGCCATCCTCGCTGGTGCTCGCTGAGAGCGCCGCGAGCAAGCCCGGCGCCCTGCCCGCCGCCAGCTGCCCCAACGGGGCCCTGGAGCACCCTCCGGCCGCCCTCCCGCCGGCCGCATCCCTCGCACAGCCCTCCACGTCCTCCTTGCATTCCCACAGCTCGCTGCCGGGGACACAGCCCCAGCCGCTCTCCCTTGTAACCAAGTCCTTAGAATAGCTTTAGCCTCGTTAGCCCTTTCGGTTTCCTTTCGGGGGGATTGAATTCTGTTGGTATTTGGGGTTTTGGTTTTTTTTTTTTT